CGCCAAGGACCACCAGCGGGAGGAACTAAGGGGGTGTCCCCCTGGTGGTGTGGTCCCCCTTTTCGCTGGAGGTGGACCCCCTGCTGGTTGCGGTGTCGTTCCTCTTTCCCCCGGTTCCTTTTCTTCCTTCGCCTCGCCTGCTTACGGGGGCGTCTGGAAGCCACCTGAGATCCGACGGCGCATATGTTAGCCTGCGACGCACCCAACCAGTCTGCATCCAGCGACAAGAGGAGCTGGCCAAAACTTGCGTAACAAATGACAGCGCATGCAACAACTTGCAATGAGCAACAATGCAAAGAGGAGCTGGCCAAAACTTGCATGAAAGCAGCGGCGCCATCCGGCATGCAAGATATCTGGGGCGCGCGCACGCTGCACTACCCACAGGACCGCGAGGAGATGGCCGAGGACTGAGGCCCCAGGCTCGAAAAAAAAGACAAGGGGGCGGGAACGAGGGGCAGGAGAAGTCAAGGGGCCCCAGGACACACAAATAAATACACACAAATAAAACAAATCCCCGTATTTTCCCATATTTTCTTGGTTTCTGTCTTCCCCCCCAACTTCCCATATTTTCCCATATTTTCTTGGGGATCGACGATTAATTGTGCCTGTGTTTTTTTCCCTCCTGAAGAAGGACGGAAAGGAAGCCGAAAAACCAGAGCGGCAGCAACAATAGGCAGCGGGGAGAACGTGGCAGGGGGAGGAGGACGACAACGAAACAGACGGAATGATGAATCGCGGTTGTTTCCCGATAGTGCGCTGGACATGCAGCGTTGCCTAATTACGCCATGCCGCCCTGGGCCCCGAAGGAGCATCTGCAAGAAGCAAACGAGACCCAGCTCGCCCGCTGTCCTTTCGGCCTCCATCCTGGACCTCTTCAGTGCGGGAACTGAAAGCCCACAAGCGCGCCGCCAGGTCTGCGGGCGACCCGCGGACAAGGAAATCCGTCGTATCATGAACAGATTGTCCACCGTCGTCGACCTGGACACCATCACGTAAATGTGCAGCCTGACGGCGTCTAGGTCCTCCGCGTCCTTGCATCTGGCGCCGACCCACGTAGCTGCTCCGCACCCCCGGCAACCCTCGAAAGCGGCAACAGCGTCGCTGCTCGCAGCCTCCCAACGCTGGCGAGGTCTAACTTGACTCTGCGCCTGGCACCCGCTATGCTGGCCCCCTCGCAGCCTTCAGAGGTGACGACACTTCCGCAGATCGCCGCCCCACGAGGCATGGCGAGGTCACGTGGATCGGCAAGGTAGGAGCCAGGTTCGCAGGCAGGACAGGAGAGGCAGGCTGGCAGGCAGAATAGGAAAGGAGGTGCGAGGCAGGAGGGAAGAGAGGAGGGAGGAGGCAGGAGGAGAAGTGTGCGACCGCGTTGCTCTATTCAGAACGAGAACCTAACGCAGGAGGGTTGGGATATCATGCAACATGCTGAGACATCACGACAGGAGCCATCGACCCTGGACCCCATCTTTCTGCACCATGTTTCGAGCGGGATCGATCTGTGAAGGTCCTGGGGCCAGGATCTCGGGGTCGCCAGGAGACGCCAGGATCCCAGGGTCTGCTGGGCCGTCCCGGGGCCGTCTTGGAGACCTCTTGTGGGGCTTCTGGGGCCCTCATGGGGCCCTCCAGGGCGCCGACGAGCGGTGGAGACCCCAGCGCCGTCCACTCTCCTCGGCGGGCGCGGGGCAGGCAGCGGGCGGACGCAACAGGACCCCGGCAGGCTTCTTTGGGCCGCTTTCGGTCTCCAGGGGCCCTCGTCAAGCGTTGCGTCGGCTCCCAAAAAAGGTTCCACTCTCGGGGTGCTTTCTTGCAGCTGCGCTTCGCCGAGGGCGTTCCGGGGGTGCCCGGATCGTCCCGAGGGTCCCCGGAGACCCGAATCGTGGCCCGAAAACCAAACACCCTCGCGCTGTGAGAAAAAGAAAATGCGGCGCAAAATGTTTATTCGGGGATCTACTGGCCTGGGTCAATCCGCACCCGGGTCAGTCGGGCTCTGCAAGGTCGTGCAAGATCCTGCGCGCAGGCATGGGTCAATGCACACCAGGCTCTTCAGAATGCTGCAAGATCCGGCGCTCTCACTGACCCCACCTTCTTCGGCGGTGGACAAACCTCCCTTGCCTAGGACCGAAACCGACGGGCCTGGACCCGCAAAAATGACGGCCGCGGCGCCCTCTCGCGAACCGAAAACGGCCAATTCCCGAATCGACGTGTCAGGGTAGGAGGTCTGTCCACCCCCCCTATGGACCCCCGTCCCTTGGGGTATTTTGGGGGGATGTTTTTTGGTGCATTTTTGGTGTATTCTTTGAGGTCTTGGACCTTTTTGGGGCATTCTTGAAGTATTTGTTATTTCTCGTCGAAAATCCCCCCCGTAGAGGGGACACGCCCGACATCGTGCAAGGTCCGGCGCTCTCACTGACCCTCCCTTTTTATGCACCCCCCGCCCCTGGAGCGTATAGTCCGCCCTCGGCCTCCGGGGCCTCTTCGCTGGGCCCTGGGACGAGGACAGAGGCCACGGGAGGCGAAGAGCTGGCTCTCGAGGCGCCGGCCGGAGGGAGTGGGCGGGAACATGGAGCACAGTCGAGGCGTTGACCTAAGGAACCCTAAAATAGGGAAGGAGGCCCCTTTTTCCCGTAAGTTCAACCTCGACTTCCCATGGAAGCCTCGGGAAAACACGAGGCAAACTGTGAAGCCATCGAGGAACACCGAGCCCCTCCCCAACGAGAAGGGTTCCTTCTTCAGCGCCCCGACTGTAGGAAGGCAGGTTGGGTAGACTGTGCTCGGGCCCGCGCAAAGAATAGCAACAAGCAGCAGCAACAGATCGATCCTTGAGGTATGAAGACGCTTGAAGTAGATCGGGATCTGGGCATCCAGAAACACCTACTTTCAACGACTGGCGTGTAGGCATGGGGGCCCCGCATTTCAAAACATGAAGACATCGAATCCCTGGGCCAACGACCGAGGTTTTTGCGTGGTCGTCGGCCAGGGGGGCCTCGCAAGGCCACAAGACCGCCAAGAAACGATCCGGGACCAAGCGCCGGTCACCAGGAAGTGGTCCAGAGCTCCAGTGGCCCCGTATGAAGCAAATTGAGACATCGGCAGTCTGGGCTCCTCTCGTTCTTTTTCCTCGTTGGCCACGTCCCTCGTCTCAGTTCACGGTCTCCACCAGCAAGCAACGCCGCTGAGGAAAGTGAGGTGCAGTTTGTGGCATGCCTGGACAATCTGCCGGGAGGGTGGTCTCTGACTCTCTCGGCAGGGGCCGCCCCTGTATGCCTTTTGTGCACGAAACCTCCGAGGGATGCAACTTTCTCGTCGCAGGCTCGCACGCACGCACACACACACACATCACGCACACGCACATACCTGCAGATGTGCATACTTTAAATATGTATGTATGTATGTATATAAATATGTATCTATGGATGCATGTATGTATGTATGTATGTATGTATGTATGTATGTATGTATGTATGTATGTATGTATGTATGTATGTATGTATGAATATATGTATGTATGTATGTATGTTTGTATGTATGTTTGGATGTATGCATGTATGTATGTGTGTATGTGTGTATGTGTGTATGTGTGTATGTATGTATGTCTGTGTGTATATATGCATGCATGCATGCAGGCATGCATGCATGCATGTATGTATGTATGTTTGTATGTATGTGTGTAAGTGTGTGTATGTATGAATACATGTATGTGCGTTTGGTTGTATGCATGCGTATGTGTACGAGTGTATGCATGTCTGCATGCATGTATGTATGTACGTATGCATGTGTGTATGCATACATGTATGCATGTATGCAGGTAGGTGTGCATGAATGCATGTATGCATGCGTGTGTGTGCATGTGTGTATGCACGTATGCATGTATGTGTAGTTGTATGTCTGTGCGTATGGGTGTATGTGTGTGAGTACATGTGTGTAAGTATATGTGTAGATATGTACGTCTATCTGCATGTAGGTGTAAGTAAAGTCTGATATATACGTACGTATAGGCATGCCCCTACACATCTGTATTCACACACACCACACAGCACACCCACACACACACACACACGTCCAAACACACGCCCAACACACATAAACACACACACACACACGCACACTCACGCTCACATTTCTCTCCGATGCGCTGAAGGTTCCCATCAGCAGAGCGATACACATTTGCATCGAGCTGACTTCCTTTTGACGCGGCGAGTCAAAACGATACTACCCAGATACGCGCAGTGGCGGAACAGGCTCGCACACACACACACACACACACACACACACACACACACGAACACACACACACACACACAAACCCGCGCCTGTCGTGAGGCTGAGCGAATGGAAGGACACCACGGTGCATAAGGCCCCAATCAAGTCTGATCCGCGTGGCCATAGAAAAGGACCTCGCGCGCGCAAAACGATTGGCGATTACTGGCAAGGCTCTGGGCTGCGCACAGACAACCCCCCCAGGTAGTCCCTGCTGGCCTCGGAGCAGTCCGGGGCGGCCTCCACACTCCAACCCCGGGGCGCGGGGCGCCACTGGGACGCCTCCGGAGGCGGCGCCAGGCTCTGCGGCCGCCCCGGACTGCTCGAGCGGCCTGCTGAGGCCAGCTGGGATTCCTCGGGGGGCCTGCCGAGGCCAGCCAGGACTACCTGGGGGGGTTGTCTGTGCGCAACCCGAAGCCTTCCCAGCGATGTCAGCGCGCCCACGATGATCGACCCTGCCCGGGCCTTGGGCGCAGCCTTGCCCTTGGCGGTGGCCTTGGCCTTGCTCTTGGCGGCCGAGGTCGCAGGCCTCCTGTCGATGCGCAGGTCCTCATCCTCGTACCCCTTGAGGAACTTGTTAACCTTGTTAGTTTGATTCAAGTCCTCTCGCTCCTCCGCCACGTACGTGCCCTCTTCCATCCACAGGCGGCCCTCGGGGGCAAAGAATATGGAGACGCTTTTCGGCTTCTCCTTCGCCACTTCTTCGCTGTGCAAGCTCTCGATGCACATCCCCACAAGGGTCGTCACCTCCGCGTGCATCCACTCCTGGTTAATGAGGGAGGAGGCCCTTGGGACAGAGGCAGACAGACACAGGGCCTGAGAACGCGGATGCGGGCGGTGCGCGGGGACATGGGTATCTGAGGTGGGGGCAATGATCAGTACGTATAATAAGAAGAACAGACGGCATGAACAGAGACGTTGGGAACTCCGCGTGGATCCAAGAAATCTGCGCGGACCTCCGACAATTTCTGTAATGCAGCTTTCTTCTTCGAGTCGGACCTGGGGACGCAGATGCGAACGGGGCCAGGGGGACATACAGCCGAAAATATGATCCAGATACCTATCGTTTAAGAAATCTGGGCCAGCGCCTCCGAAGTCTCTTCACAGAAACCTGGGCCAACTTCTGCCTTTAAAACGCAGGAGGAACGTGCTCAAGAAACTGTGCGAGCTTCCCGTCAAGTTGGTTCAGAAACGATGGCTCAACTCTTCGGGAGGAGGGTTCTTCATCGGATGCTCGACTGTCGGGCAGCGGATGGGATGGGCAACAAGATGGGAGAGAAAGCGGCTCGGCCTGCTGACGCTCTCGTGGACGGGCAGTGGGGACCGACATTCGGCACATCAAATACAAAATCAGCCTGTCGGCAGGCGCCCAACGGAAATTTCTTATGGCCCCTGAGACCCAAAGAAGCTCTGGGGCACTACCGATGGCCCCTGAGACCCCCGGCAAAAAACGTGCCCAATGCAGCCGGGCGGAACGTGGCAAGTCAAACAAATAAACAAGGGGGCCCAGCGCTCAACCCGCCCGTGCACAATCGCATACGCGATGCCAACATGCTTCCCCCATCCGCAAACGCGCTCCCCCCATCCAGCACGCGTCAAGAGCCGCCGGAACAGAGAAGCAAGAAACACCACAAACATAGTTTTGGAGGTGGAGGGGGGCCCAGCGCGGATCCCAAACATCTGCTTGGGGCTCCGAACAATTATGCTTATGCAGTTGTTTGCTCTTCGAAGCCAGAAGCATTAGGACAGCCTTCTCGAAGAGACGGGGTAAACGACGGGAGCTGTCGGCACCAGAGGGGAAGGAGCAGGCAGGGCAGGAGCGGGCAAGCGAGTGAGCGAGCGACGCTGGTGCAGGACTCACGTTGCTGTGCCCGTGCGCTCTTCGGCAGGGCGCGTAAGTCCGCAGCCGCATCGCATGTACTCGCCATCGCTCGGACGTCCATTTCCCGCGCATTTGTTGGTTTCGTGCGTGTTTTTTTTGCTCGATGGTCCAGGATGGTCCTCGATGGTCCCCGCCGAGAAAAAAAAAACACGTCCGAGCGATGCCAGGATGTATGGCGCTTCAGCAGGAGGCCTTGGTGAAGCTTTTGCTTAGCGTGTTGCGGCGGCGGCCCTGGCGACACGCTGTGCCCTGCAAGCGGATAGCGTGCCGCTCCGCTCCGCGGGGCGCGCGAGAAAATTGGGACGCAGGGATCTCAGGGTCTCTGGGGCCGTCTCGGGGTCCTCTCGGGGGGGCATCCGGGGCCGTCCGGGGGTCGCCCAGGATGCCGACGAGCGGCGGAGACCCCAGCTCGGCTGCACGCAAGAGTGATCCTGGGAACGAGTCGCTCGTGCCCAGGGTCACCAAAGGTCACTCGGCGTGACCTTTGGTGCGCGGACTGCGGGGGCGCGAGGTGGCCAAATCCAAGCGCGCAAGCGGCCGCGAAGGCATCGCGCTCAGCAAGCCGGGCGGATCCCGATGAGCCCGCACCGAACGCCACTCCAACGAAGAGCCCACTCTTACGTAAGCGCAGTCGACCAGCGCCGCCCACCCTCATCGGCCTCCGATCTCGGGCTTCCAGCGGCGGCGGCCCTGGCGCGCCGTCTCCTTCGCGCCGTCCACGCACGACCACGACCACGACCACGCCCACGACGATAACCACGACGACGGCGACGACGACGACGACGACGACGACGACGACGTCTCCTTCGCGCCCTCGGCGGGCGCTCGGCCGGGGTCCAGCGCCCCCGCCAGCGCGCAGGCGGCGCGGCGGAAGCCCGTGGAGTCCGCGGCCGGCAGCGCGCGCGCGGCGCCGACGAGCGTGCGCACCGCCTGCCACAGCGCGGCGGGGGCCTGGCGGCGGGCTCGCCGCCGCCGTGCGCTGCTCCTCCGGGCCCTGCCCGGAGGAGGAGGGCGTCGTCGCCATCGTCCTCTCCCCGCGTGGGTCCTCGCCGCCGCCGCCGTCGCGTCCTCTCCTCCTCCTCCTCCTCCTCCTCCTCCCCCTCCCCCCCCCCCTCCTCCTCCTCCTTGTCCTCCTCCTCTTCTTCCTCCTCCTCCTCCTCCTCCTCCTCCTCTACAATTACTCAATATGAAAATACTCTCCCTCTTCCCCTGATGGCGTCCGGGTGATGGCCGCGCACCCTCCGCGTACTGTTTTTTTGCACACAGGATCCCCGGGAAATCCCGGGAAACGACTCTCGCTGAGGCGCCGGCGTCATTTTTTCCCAAATTGCTGCTCTCGTTGAGGCGCCGGCCTCATTTCTGCTCCCGAATCGTTCCGAATCGTGCTCCCGCTGCAGCGTGGGCCTCATTTTCGGATCGGTGTTTGGCCTCCGTCGTTCAGGATGGCGTTCTCGCCCCAGCGCGGGCCTTTTCTCGCGCGCCCATCCGCCCGCCACCACCGCGCCGCACCGCACCACCACCACCACCACCACCACCACCACCACCAGCACCAGCACCAGCACCACCACCACCCACCAGCACCAGCACCACCCACCACCACCAGCACCACCACCACCCACCAGCACCACCACCACCACCACCACCACCACCACCACCACCACCACCACCACCACCACCACCACCACCACCACCACCACCACCACCACCACCACCACCACCACCACCACCACGACAACCACGCACACACGCACGCACGCACGCACGTGCACCACCACCCACTACGCACGCGCGCGCGGAGCCACAGGTCCGCTACGACACGCGTCCGCGGATAGAGAAAATCAGCGCCATGGTAAGGGATGGGAGGGAGGGGTAGGACGTCAGATATGACGCGAGCGCACCTAGCTTGTCCTCCTCCCCCTCCTCCTCCTCCTCCTCCTCCTCCACCTCTTCCTTTTCTCTCATCCCTCCTCAACTCTCATCCCTCTTTTCCCGCTCACCCGAGGACGCTCCCGAGGAGGCGCCCGGACGCTTCCGACGACTGGCCTCGGACATCCGACGATATATTTGTTCAATGCGCCTGACAACGGTACAGAACTGCCCTAACTTGGCCTACGGACAATGGGGATGCTGAGGAGGGTCTGAAATCCATGGTGGCGATACAGTGCCAGGAGCTGAGCTGCGCTGCGCTGTGCAATGCTGTGCGGTGCTGTGCTAAACTGCCGTTTCATACTGTTGCGTTGTGGCGCCTCGTCGTCCTTGTCGTCCGCAGCCGGACCGAACTGATCTGGACCGTTAGCTCGAGCCTCGAGCTGAAAACGTGGCTCGCCCAAAGCCCGTTGTGGTCGAAACGTGCGGGTCCTTCAACCAGCTCAAACTCAAGACCGCATTTAGTTCCGAATCGGGACGAATCGACAGGGGGCGCAGGGCGCAAGGACGCGCCACGGGATGTGCGCAACAGGGGATGCGAGTGGGAACGTGCCAGGGGCCGTGCCCAGGGTCGTGCCAATGACGTGTAAGGGACCTGCCACGGGACTTGCCAAGGGCGTGCCAGGGGGCTTGCCAAGGGATGATGCGTCATGCCAGGGGACATCCCAAGGGACGCGCCAAGGGATGCGCCAGGGAACGTGGCAAGGGGAGCGCAAGGGGGAACGGGTAGGGGAAGCGCCAGGGAACCCGACAGAGGACGAGCCAGGGAACGTGCCACAGGACGCGCCAGTGGACGTGGCGTGGCAGCGGGCGCGCCAAGGGACGCGCCAGCGGAAGCGCCAAGGGACACGCCAGGGAACGTGCCAAGGGAATGGGCGGCGGAACGCGCCAGGGGACGCGCCGCAGACGTGCCGAGGGGACGCGAAAGCCAGGGAACGTGCAAAGGGACGCGCCTGGGGACGGGCCACGGAACGTGCCAGGGACAACCCACCTTGCTCTGTAAGCTGTAAGCCTTTTTCGCTGGACCCTGACTCCCAAGACCACGATCCCTTGTAAGTTTCACTGGGTCCGGGTCCCCACTTCAAGAGCTATGATGCCAAATAGATTACGCAGTGTCTTAACTCCCAGCGCCGTCATCCCTCGTTAGTCTCACTGGGTCCGCGCTCCCACACATGACACTCAATACGCGCTTCCAGGGCCATCATCCGTAATGCATTACACTGCGTCCGCGCTCCCAAAGCCACGATACATTGTAAACTGTGCTGCGCCCGCGCTCCCAAGACCACGATCCCTTGTAAGTTTCACTGGGTCCGGGTCCCCACTTCAAGAGCCATGATGCCAAATAGATTACGCAGTTTCTTCACTCCCAGCGCCATCATCACTCGTTAGTCTCACTGGGTCCGCGCTCCCACACATGACACTCAATACGCGCTTCCAGGGCCATCATCCGTAATGCATTACTGCGTCCGCGCTCCCAAAGCCACGATACCTTGTAAACTGTGCTGCGCCCGCGCTCCCAAGACCACGATCCGTAATAAGTCCTGCTGCGTCCGCACTGTCAGGGCCACTATCCTTCGAAAACACGCTACGCCCGCGCTCCCACATCCACGATGAAAACTAAATTTTGGATTGTGCTGGATCCGCGCTCCCTCATACATCACGCTGCGTCCGCGCACCCGGGGCCGCGATCCTTGTATATTTACACCGCGTCCGCGCTCTCAGGACCACGAGCCGTAATGAATCCTGCTGCGTTCGAGCTCTCAGGGCCTCTATCCTTCGAATGTGCGCTGCGTCCGCGCTCCCAGGGCCACGATCCCTAATATATATATATATATATATATATACATGTATATATAAATATTATATATATATATATATATATATATATTACGCAGGGTCCCCGCTCCCAGGGCATCTAGGCCCGAGTCTGGGCGCGGGGCGCGCCCTCCTCGAGCGGGCACGCGCAGAATCAACTGCTCACATGTCCTCGAATTTGTGCACATTCGGAACCACCCCTCACGAGGATTCTGTGCAAAACGTCCAGCACAATTTTTACAAGGAAAGAGAAGGTCTGCGGACCCCACTGTTCACTCATGATCCGCAGTGGGGGGGGGGGGGGGGACACGCGCGAAACACATTCTTCCATTGGGGATTGCACTCTACAGAGCTTCCCTTGAGGGTAACTCCGCTGGCCCTTACCGAGCATATCACCAGACACGTTCACATACTGACGACGCAAAGCCATGGACCCGCGCTGGTGGAAAACAACAATCTGAGGGGGCCCTGAGACACACAAATAAATACACACAACAAAAAAGAGGATCCCCCATATCTTCCTATATCTTCTGGGGTTTTTGTTTTCCCCCCCTCCCCATTTCCCACATTTTCCCATAGCTTCTTGGGAATCGACGATTCATTGTGTCTGTGTGGCTTTGTCCCTCCTGACAATCTCCCGACCACCTCCGGACTCCGGAGCGCGTCCTGGCCGGGGTCCTCCTCCTCCTCCTCCTCCTCCTCCCTCTTCTCTCCTCCCTCCTCCTCCAGCTCCCTCCTCCTCCTCCTCCTCCTCCTCCTCCTCCTCCTCCTCCTCCTCCTCCTCCCTGGTGGAACACACCCATCTCCCGACCACCTCCGGACTCCGGCGCGCGTCCCGGCCGGGGCCTCCGGGTGGACCCGGCCGTGGCGACCGAGGGCTCGTCGGAAGGCCCGGGGACGAGGAGGATACTCCCCCGCGGCACCACGTCGGCCCAGGTGTGCGCTCCGTGCTCCGCGAGGCACGGTGAAGTCGGGCGTGTCCCCCTACAGGGGGACTTTCGAAGAAGAATAAAAAAATACACCAAAAATGCCCCAAAGAAGAATTTCGACGAAGAATTAAAACAATACCCCAACAATACCCCCCCAAAAAGGTCAAACCATACTCAAGAAATAGAGTCCCCAGACAATTTCTGGCATACTTTTGGGGACAGGCCCGACTTGAGGCATGGTTGTATTCGCGCTCTCCCGCCGCCCCCTGGAGAATAGCCCTCCTCCGCCCCAGAGGAAGCCGCAGAGCGCGATCGCCTTCGTGCCACCCCGCAGGCGAGGATAGCCTGGCTTAGAAGAGGTTATCGATACAACTGCCCCAAACGGCTCAGGGGGTCGCATGACTCCGCTAGAGGTGGGCGGAGCCCTCTCAGCCGGGATGGCTGCACCCTGTGCGGCACGGAGGGCGCTCCTGGCCCACTTGCAAAAGCTAAGTTTGGCCCACACGCGACCCGCCCTGGCGCGACGTGCCGAAGGCGAGGTGCGCCGAAGGGCGGGAGGCGGCCCTCTCCTGGGAGCCGCCCCGACGCCGGGAGAGCCGGGCGGAACGCGGGCGGCCTGCTCGACGCGCTCCGCGAGCGGCCCGGCGCTGCACAGGTGGCCCCAGAGCTTGGGCGCCTTCGGCGAGGGGGGCGGGCGGTGGCGATGGGGGGACCAGCGACTCGGGTGATCGGTGGCGGAGGGCCAGTGCAGCCGTCGGACTCCAGAGGGAGAGCGCCAACTCCGCCGACTCTGTGTCGGCGTGTGTGATCGGCTCTTATGCTGGAGTCATCGTCGTCGTCGCCGATCCCCTCAAGCGTTCCAGCCGGAGCGGAATCGAGCAGCGGCTCAATCGAGTCGAAGGGGAGCCCCTTCCCTTTGATACCTGCCCTGCAGGGAAGGGGGGGGATTCCTGGGGGGGTCCTTGGGAGGGGTGTGCTGGGGGTTGTGGCCCCCGCCCCGAGGGGGAGCCTCCCTCCCTAGGAGAAAATTTCGGCTCCAGAGCGTCAGCGTTGCCGTGTTCGCCGCCGCCGCCGACGTCGCCGTCGTCGTCGCGGTCGTGGTCGTCGTCCTGGTCGTCGTCATCGGGGTCGTGATCGTCGTGGTCGCGGTCGTGGTCGTGGTCGTGATCGTCGTCGAGGTCGTGGTCGTGGTCGTGGTCGTGGTCGTGGTCGTGGTCATGGTCGTCGTCGTGGTCGTGGTCGTGGTCGCGGTCGTGGTCGTGGTCGTGGTCGTGGTCGTGGTCGTCGTTGTCGTTCAAGGTCGGCGGCACTGGCCGCAAGGTCTTCGCACTGGCCACAATTTGTTGGAGGTCCGCGCGGATTTCTTGGATCCGCGCTGGGTCCCCCTGGCGGCGCCTCCGACGCCGCCCCTGGCGGGGTCCAGCAGTGGCAGTACAGGGCCCCTTTAGGGTCGCTTCCCTGCAATCCTCGGCATCCCACGCTTGTTGCCCCCCCCCCTGTTGCCATCCGCCCGAGCGATACCGTCGTGTCGTGACGACTTCGACCTGGGTTTCTGACACCGCGTCTGTCGTTCAACCTTGAACGTACTGTAGCTTTTCGACCGAAAAGGCCCTCGTGAGGTCGCCGCCGTGTCGGCACGACACGAACCCGTCGTACTCCCTGGTGCTCCCCTGGGGTGCGTTCTTGGTCAGGCGTCGGGCTGCGCACGCACAGCCCCTCAAGGTAGTCCCGGTGGCCTCAGCAGGCCCCCCGAACAGCCTGGGGCGGTCTCAACACTTCAACCCTGGGGCGCTCCGCGCCCCAGGGGCGCCGCCAGAGGCGGCGCCAGGGTGCTGAGACTGCCCCGCACGGCTCGGGGGGCCTGCTCGGGGAGGCCTGTCTGGGGGCCTGGCGAGGCCATGGCAGGCACTGCCGGGGGGGGGGGGTTCTCCGTGCGCACCCCAGGAGCACCCCGCGCGTCCTGGCCGGGACTTCGAGGCGACCCCGGCCGAGGGCGAGGAGGGGCGGGTGGTGGCCCATCGCTGTCGCGGCCGTCGCCGTGCCGACACGGCACGAGCGTGTCGTTCGGCTCTCCTTGGGAGCGCTCTGGCCTGGAGTTGGGGGCGACCCCCCCCCCGCCTCTTCCTGCTCCTCCTCCTCCGCCTCCTCCTCCTCCTCCTCATCCTCCTCCTCCTCCTCCTCCTCCTCCTCCTCCCTCCTCCTCCTCCTCCTCCTCCTCCTCCTCCTCATCCTCCCGCCGAGGACGAGGAGGGGCGGGCACTGGCATCTCGGCCTCGGCTCCCTCGCCGCAGCCTCGGGGGAGCGGGCCGGCCCGCGGGCCACACGGGCGCCGCCCCACGGGTGGCCGCGGGGGGGGTGGCCTCTCGGGGCGACTGCCGCCCAGCTGGACGCCTCCGCCTCCGCAGGAGCGGGTCGTCCCCGGACATGCGCCGCCGATCGGAGAGATCAGAGGCTCCGCCTCAGCCCCATCCTCCTCCCCGCCCCCCTGCTGGTCCTCCTCGGCCCTGTCCTCGCAGATCAGAGGAGGAGAGGCTCCTCGTCCAGCTCCTCCTCCTCCTCCTCTCCTCCTCCTCCTCCTCTCCTCCTCTCCTCCTCCTCCTCCTCTTCCTTTCTCCCTCCTCCTCCTGCTCCTCCTTCTCGTGCACCGTCTGATCTTCCTTGTCCTCGTCCTCGTCATTCTGCTTTCCTCCTCCTCCTCCTCCTCCTCCTCCTCCTCCCCCTTCTCGCTGACTTGGGCAACAGGGAACCGACCCCTCCCCCCCCTCCTCCTCCTCCTCCTCCTCCTCCTCCTCCTCCTCCTCCTCTCCTCCTCCTCCTCCTCCTCCTCCTCCTCCCCCTCCTCCTCCCCCTTCTCCTCCCCCGACCTCGACCTCGGGTCTGACCTCCGCCTCGACCTCGGCATCTTCCTCGGCCCAAGCCCTGACCTCAACTGCGTCTATACGCCCCCACCTTTGGACACCGCCCCTCCGGGGCGAAGCGCGAGGCGAGGGCTGTCGACATACCAATACTGTTACTCCCAGACCTCTGAAAAGGTGCGTTCTGACCAGAATTTCGCGGTGAACACAACCGTGGCGACGAGGGCCTGCCAGGAGGCCCAACAAGGCGAACACCAGGAAGGTTGGCGGTATCGGTACCTGTTCCTCCTCTGACGTTGCACTCCCTTTTCGGGCTTCGCGGAGGCACCTGCTAAAGGCACCCAACCCCTTGGGAAGGGAAATTGACAGTTGCTAGCCCCCCGGACTGGAGCAACAGATGCTGGAGCCCGCGAGCTCAACCAAATATGCTGGAACCAAATAAGCTTCAGCCAGAGGGTTCAGCACCCGGGCGCCGGCCACGCCCGCGAGCTCAGCATCGGGTGGTGGGCCGCCAGCGCCAGCAGCGCCAGGGTTTCCGGGCGTGGGGCCACGGAACTGCGGGAGGCCGCCCTGCACAGGTCCAGCAGCGTGTCCCTGAGCGACGCGTTGGACACCTGTCGAGGGCACGCCTTCAGCCTTCTTCTCCGCCTCCCTCTCTCCGTCCCCACACCTCCGAGGATGTGTCTGCTTTCAGTCACGAGGTGTTCCCCGCATCCTGAGTGGGGCCTTGTTCCCCACAACCTAAGTGGGGTTCTTCCTCACTACGTCCTAGGTGGGGTGTTTGTCTTGTTTGCTCTGGACCCCCCCCGCGCAGGAAGGAACTCCACACACAACCTCCCCTCCACTCATTCATTCACAATCATCACTATCACCATCACCAACATCACCACCATCACCACCATCACCATCAACATCATCATCATGATCATCATCATCATCATCAGCAGCAGCATCATCACCACCATCACCACCACCACCACCACCACCACCACCACCACCACCACCACCATCATCATCATCATCATCATCATCATCATCATCATCATCATGATCATCATGATCATCATGATCATCATCATCATCATCATCATCATCATCATCATCATCATCATCATCATCATGATCATCATTATCATCAGCATCATCATCATCATCATCATCAACAGCAGCATCGTCATGGTCATCATCATCAGCAGCAGCATCAACAGCATCGTCGTCGTAATCACTATCATCCTCGTCGTCGTCATCATCATCATCGTCGTCATCATCACCATCATCATCGTCATCATCATCATCATCGTCGTCATCATCACCATCATCATCTGCAGCATCATCATCATCGTCGTCACCATCATCAGCATCGTCATCATCATGAGCATCATCATTGCCAGCATCATCAACATCATCATCATCACCATCATCATCATCATTATCATCATGATCGTAACCAGCACCGTCATCATCATCAGTGTCATCATCGTCATCATCATCATCATCATCAACAGCATCATTATCACCATCATCATCATAATCATGACCACCATCAGCATCATCATAATCAGCATCATCATCGTCATCATCGTTCTCACCATCGCCACATACTACATACCCACCAACTCACACATTCCCACATCCTCACACATACACACGCACACTCACACAGCCGGCACTCACTCATACACTCGATCATTCACTCATCCACGCACGCACTCTTCTTGAGGAAGTCTCAGACGGGAGCCCCTCCCTAGTGGGTCCCCGCCTCAGATTTGCAATCCGAGCGGGTCAAGGGAGCAAGTCGTGAGACTGTCTCGAAGGGGAGCTTCATGTGTGATTGAGTCGCGAGAAAGTCTCCTCCCTATGAGGTCCCCTTCTCATGTTTGTAATCCGAGCGGGTCATCGGGATACTATAGCAGGCACTGCACTTGAGCACCCCTAGGGGGCACATCGTGAGGACGTCTCGAGCGGGAGCTTGATTTGTGAGTGAATCGCGAGGAAATGTCGAGCGGGAGACTCCTCAATATAGGGGTCCCCACCTCACCTTTGTAATCCCAGCGGGTCGCGAGGAAGTCTCGAGCGGGAGCCCCCTCCCTATGGGGTCACCGCCTTCTGAGCTTAATCCCAGCGGGTCATCGGGCTACTGTAGCAAGATTTCACTTGAGCACCCCAGGGAGGCAAATCGCGAGGGTGTCTCTCGAGCAGGGGCCTCGATCATCTGTCAGTGCATAGCGAGGAAGTCTCCGGCGGGAGACGGGGGGCGCACAGGCTGCACAAGGCTCACAAGTCCCACCGGTCCCAGAAGTTGCAGAAGTCCCACCGGTCCCACAGGTGCCACAGGCCCCACAAGTCTTGATTATATTCCCCTCAGGTCCTGCAGGTCCCACATGCCCTCGAGGGCTCGCAAGTCCCATGGATCGCACAGGCCCCACTGGTCCAAATAACCCCACATGCCGCACAAATCCCACGGGCTCCACAGGTCTCACAGGTCCCACAGGCCGCACAGGTCCCAGAAGTTCCAGGGGCCCCACTCTTACCACAGGTCCCCCCGGTCCCACAGATCTCACAGGTCCCTCGTGCCCCCCAGGTCGCACAGGCCCCGCAAGCGCCGCAGGTCGAACAGGTCCCACAGGCCCCGCAGGTCTCAAATGCCCCACGGGCACAACAAGTCTCAGTGGCCTCGCAGGTCGCATCCTGGTATCCTGCGCGCGAAGAAGATTATCATGCGGGGTCCTTCCGTCGGAGTATTTTTTTTGATTCTGGCCTTTGGGGCCCGTCGTTGGGCCCTGGGGCCATCAAAACTCGTTAAGGGACCAGGGCGAAAAACTACCTCCCCGGATGGGGTCGGGACCTGGTGGGCCGCGCACTGAAGCACACACATCGTCGGATGTCTGGGCCTTCCCCCCCAGCACCTACTTAGTCAACTCTATTCCCGCTCGGGTGCCCCCGTCCAGCAGGGGCAGCGACTCCAGACCCCACCACCCCTGCCAACCACAGCAGCGAGCGCGGCGGCAAGCCAGGGACAGCATCTGGGCGCCGCCCGTCCGACCTTCGCTGGCAAAAGCCCATGCGCAGTCAGTGCACGTCGGGTCAATTATACGCTCTTGGAGCACGCTGGGGCGCTCAACGAGTGCCGCCCCCGCGTGACATGGCCGTACCTGGTGCAGCTGGCGGCGCGCAGCTGGCGCATAGCTGGCACACACGCAGCTCACCTTGCGCTCCCTGCGAGCAGAATCCACTGCCACTGCCTCTGATGGCTCTAATGCGGAATGGCTGCCCGGAGGCCACAGGAGACTCCCCTTGAGACCTCGTCGCCACAGGCTCGGGGCGCCCCCGCGTCGCCTCTGCGCCCCAGCCCCCCCCCCTCGGGGGAGCTGCGGGGGGCCCCCTGGGCAGAGGCTGGAACCCTCGGAGGCTCCTCGGGGCCGACTGCAGGCTCCCAGCCAGCGCCCCGCGAGGTCCGTGGCGACCCGGGAGGCGGCCGGGGGCAGCCTGGCGGCGCGACGCCGTCCCCCGCCCTGGGGGGGGGGCCAGGCGGCCGACGGGGGCCGGCCTGCGTCAGAAGGCGGCGGGGTCCTCTCCGGAGCCCTCCCGCCTTCTGGGAGGCCGCCTGCGGCTGCGGAGGGGGTCCTCGGGAGGCTCCTGTGAGGGCGGGGGGGGGGGGGCTCCTGGGAAGACCCCGTCGCCTTCTGAGAAGGCCCGCCCCCTCTGCCATGCCCCACGGGCGCGCCGCCGAGAAGTGTCCTGCCCCAGGCTGGCATCGCAGCGCCCTTCCAGCAACGTTCGCATGCTGCTTGCGGGAAGGACGACCTTCCGAGTGAAGAGGCACGCGGCGACGTGACAATAGTAGCACCTGCGAAGTACACACTGGAATTGTGATCATGACCTATACGACCACCCTTCGGGTGATAAGGAGGTGGAGGGGTGGGGGGGAACGAAAACAAATGATGGCAAATACGATGGGTGTGATGATGACGATGCTGGTGACGCACCCCCAAGTCAGCGACGACGCGTGATGACGATGTTGTGCTGCAAAGTAACGTTACTATCGTCCCCGCTTTCTATCTCACGACCAATGTCACAATCAACCTCGCTGTCGATCTCACTTTCAATATCACAGCCCATTCCATTCGATCCATCTCATTATCGATCTCACGATCGACTTCACTATCGATAGCAAGGCGGGACCCCCCCCGCCACCGCCCGCCCACCGTCGACGGAACACCGACGGGACACCGACGGGACACCACATGACACCACGGCGGCACACCCCAGGCCACCGCGCGCCCGCGGGGGGGGCGGATGGGGCGGTCCTCTGCCTCCGAATCGCCAGAGCGACGGCGGGGTCATTCCTCTCGCGCGGACGCGCAGCGTCGCCTCGCCTCGCCTCGCACGACGCGACCACGAAACCGACACCGATGTCCCGGTGGGGGCTCTCCGTGCTACTGCGATCTCACCCCCCAGCCTCCGATCATGTGATAGTGCGTCGGCGTACCTCTGCTCCGCCGTGCCGTCACACAATGTGGAAAAATCGCTAGACCCCAGATTATTTACCTGGACGAGCTGATTCGACGCCACGTTGGGCCCCTGGGGCATCCGGAAGCGTAGAGAGATACCCTTACTGCTCTCGGACTTCTCGTGACTCTCCGCATGCTCTGGCCCACAGGAGGAGGAGGAGGAGGAGGAGGAGGAGGAGGAGGAGGAGGAGGAGGAGGGGAGGAGGAGGAGGGAGGAAGGAGACGAGGAGGACGAGGAGGAGGAGGAGGAGGAGGAGAAGGAGGAGGAGCAGCAGCAGCAACAACAGAAGCAGCAGCAGGAGGAATAGGAAGAGGAGGAATAATCCAAACATGCTGCCATCTCTTGGGGGCGCATCTTCTACTTCCGCCGCCTCCCGCCGAGCTTCCGCTGGCTCCCGCCGGCGGAGCCGCCCTCGCTGTACTTTCGCCGCCTTCCGCCGAGGCTCCATCTGGAACGCCCCACACCGAAGGGACGAGCTGTGACCTGGAGACGGCGGCCTCGAAGAGTTCCTGCGCCCATGGATCGCTGCCGAAGACGCGCATCTGGTGGAGAGCTTCTCGGGTCTTAGTCTTTGCCCAGCAGTGCTCTGAAAGTTAGGCTAGATTCGTCGGCGCATCCCTCGAGGACGTCCAAGACGGGGGGCGTCCAAGAGGGGGTTCGCAAATCATGGCCCGAGCGAGGCGCGTACGCGGCAAGGGACGCATTGTAATAAACATGTAATGATATCTGGGAAGAGCCTCCGACCGCCCAGACGGCCCAAGAGGCCCCCAAATAGACCCAAGCCAGACCAAGAGGCTCCCAGGACGGCCCCAAGGCAGCCCAAGAGATCCCCAAGACGGCCCAAGAGGCCTCCCAATCCAGAGGCTCCCAAGAGGACCCCAAGAGGGGGAAACCAACCTGACATGTCAAACCCTTTCTCGAAAGATGGCCCCCAAGACTGCCAGCAGGCCCCCAAGAGGCCCCCAGGTCCCCCAAATACCGCCAAGAGGCCGCCGAAATGACTCCTCTCAGAGACCCCAAGAAGCCTCCCAAAGAGGCGCAATGTTCACGACCCAGTTTGGCCCCAAGAATGCCCCAAGAAGCCATCGAGAGGCCTCATTCTTATCTCCCCTTATCCTCCTCCTCCTCCTCCTCCTCCTCCTCCTCCTCCTCTTCCTCCTCTTCCTCCTTTTCGCTCGGCAAGGGCACGCCGATTTTCAAAGCCAGTGATACGACATGGGCCTGGCGGAGAGAGCGAGGTGTGAAAACAGCATGCCATGATACCTGGGCAGATTTCATGCCCCCAGCCATGACATTTGGCGGCACGCATAAGGGGGTAGAGGGAGGGGGGAGGGCTTCTTAGAAGGAGGCTGCTTCTTAGAAGGCGCCGGCCTTACATCTGTAAACAAGGCCCGCGCCTTCTGAGAAGCGGGGGTGCTTCTAAGAAGCCCTCCCCCCTCCCCCCACCCCCCTCTGCGTGTCGCTGAGACATCCCACCCACCCCAGTCCCCCACCCTCCCCTCTCGGCCGCTCCCCAATCGCGGCGGAGGCCGCGCTTCCGCGCGCCCTGGGCCTGGCGTTGCTTGGCCGGCGTCTGCGACAGCTCGGCGAGCCACGCCAAGAGGGCCTGCGGGGGCGCCGGGGGGGCACGGTCATCCGAAGGGGCCCTGGGACACACAGATAAATAGACACACATGACAGGATCCCCCATATTTGTCCATATCTTCTGGGTCCTCGTTTTTCCCAGATTCTCCCATCTCTTCCTGGGTGCGATCACTTGCGTCTCTGTGTGCTTTTCCCCCTCCTGATCATCGACGATGATCAGGAGGGGGAAAAGCACGTGCTCCCGTGGGGAACGCCGCAAAAAAGGGAACGAGCTGGCTTGTCTGGCCACGGCGAGCCTTGGCCACGGATAGGCTGTCCGACCTGGCTCTGGGGAACGGCCCGGAAGCCAGAGCCCCTCTCGGGGATCTTCTGACCCGGGTCAATCCAGACCCGGGTCAGCAGGAAACCAAGAACTGCAATGCAGGGAAAAAAACTGCAACGCAGGTCCTCGCAAACCCGGGTCAGCCAATATGCGCGGCCGCCTCGCGGCCACGAGCGGCTCGCTAACCCGGGTCAGCCAAAGGGGGTCTTCGCAGGATCCTGCAGGATCCGGTGCCCTGGCTGACCCCCGTTTGCATTGAACCCCGTCTCGAGGCTCCCGACCCTCCCGACCTCAGTGGGCCCCGGAAACGTCAGGGCCGTTCTTTTCACCGTTTCCGAAAAAGAGCCCCTTGAAAATGGAAACGGCAACAAAAACGGCGACCAGAAACGGCAACAGAAACGGCCCCAGGATCGGAACCGGAGCGGGAACCCGTCAAAGAACGGCGGCGGAACCGGTAACAAGACGGCGTCGGAACTGGCCCAAAAAACGGCAAAACGGGACCGGTAAAACAACGGGCCTGTCGTTTCCAGGGCCCACTGAGCCCCCGACCCCAGACATGGGCCTCGTACTTCGGCGTCTTGACTGCAACGCTGCAGCGGCCACCGGTGCCGGCCGCCCTGCCGTGCCACGACTGGTGTGGCGGGCTGCGCGCAGGGTTCTTTCCCGGCGCTGCTCGCTGCGAAACGAGGCGGCGTGCACATGCGAAGACGCCGTGCTAGAAGGCATCTACGGGCACGCTCGTAGTCGGACTTTGCACTTCCTGTGGTGCCCCAGGGCTTCCATGGGCCACCAGGGCCATCGGAGAATGGGAAGCTTCCGTGGGGCACCTGTTGGGAGGCCAGTTTCTTAATTGACGTGCCTGCTCCACTTAGCCCGACAAAACACTCAAGGGCAACATGCGTCAATATTTCGCTCAAGGTCGATACGCTTTCGACCTCCAGAGACGAATTCATCGACGCGGGGCTCCCCATGTATACATCTTGCGTTCTGGTGCGCTCTTCTGCGAGTGTCCGAGTATGGACGAGTCGAATCGCCACCTACCTGCGCCTGCCATATCACGGTGACCCTGGGGCTCTTATCTTTTGACGCGTCCAAAGCCACGAACAGCAACTCCACAGTCGCACTGAATTGGACAGGGCACCCGATAGGACACAAGACTGTCTGACGGCACCGTGGCCCCAGAACACCGAATGACATGCGGGTCGCATAGGTCGGGACAGACAAGACACAAAGGTACCCTCGAATTGGCATGGTCGACCTACCAATCAGGGTCGACTGAACTCTAAAGGTCCCACCAATCCAGACGCTGGCGGGCCCGTGTCAGACCACCCTTGCGGCTCCGCTTAGGAGGCAAGAGTGCAACGCATGCTTGCATTGCAAAGACCATTGGGCCCTGAGAAGATACGCGCACAGAGTCACAACGGGCCCCTCTACAGCCGGGCTGCTGCAAGAAGGAACACTGAATGAGGAACGAAGCCCCTTTTTGGTCCCACGAGCGCCTGGGTGCACGAGAAGAGCTAGAGGAACGACAAGGAATGACCTAAGGAACAGCGAGCCCCGTTCGAACCCAAAGCGGTCTTTACTTCAACGTCTTAATTGTACTCGAGAGACACCACACATCTGGGCACGAACAGGCCCGTGCCATGCCTCCTGGCTTCTCCCCCGTTGGTCATCCAAATGCCCTGCCTACTGCATCGCGTTGGCCAACTTGCTCTCAGAGGAATGACCGCGTTCACATCCGCGAACGGACGTCTGGCTCGAACACATCCCCACAACCCCTGGCGGCTCCCCCTCGGGTGGTCCCGAATGCCGTGCCTGCCAGATGTCAGTGGTCAGAGGGCTCTGAACAGACACCCCGCAGCGGGAAACTGGTGTGTCTTTCAAGACCTCTCCACGAGCTCGGCGCGCACGGGCCCGTGCAACAACCCTGGTCGGCCCCCCTTGGGCGACCTGTATGCCACGGCTGGCACATCGCGGTGATTGCGAGTCTCTGAAAAGATACGCGCCCAGAGCCGCGAACGGGCGTTTCGCTGGACCCCCCCCCCCCTACACTGTGGACGCAATGCCATGCCGCTACATGGCCGTGATCAGAAGAAGCAAAAAGGCGCGCGCCCACAGCCGCAACCTGGCGCTCGGCTCTGGGCTCCCCCTCGCAAAACGGGCGCGAACCGGCCCGTGCAGCATCCTTGGCTGGCACCGGCCCTTGCAGCATCACAGTGCCACGCATGCTGCATCGCGATGATCACAAAGCTTTGAAAAGAGACGCGCCCGTAGCCGCGAGGGGGCGTTGCGCTCGAGACCCCCCCGAACACATAATCTGGACCCGAGCGGGCAAGTGTCGTACCCCCTGGCGTCTCCCCCTCGGGTGGTCCAGATGCCATGCCTGATGCATCGCGGTGACCATGTAAGTATCAATATGCGTTGAATTGTGCATGAAGCTGAATATTAGTGAGTCTCAATATGCGCGAACGTAAGTATGAAAGGCTGAGTGGGGATACGTTTAAGTGTGAGTGAGTCTGAGTATGTTGTTTTTCCACCTGCATCGGACTGTTGTGTCAGTGCCCTCTCCACGTGTGCTGTACAGTTGAACGGTTGAGGTATGAGCTCATCTTGAGCCAAATGCCCACCGGTCGGGGGGGCAAATGGTAACCAGACGCCGCGCGACTGCTATCCCACTACTGCCCATCCCGTGCGCGGCAGCAGGACAGTGATACGTTTTGCCCCTATTTCGTATCATCGGGAATCTGTGTTGTCACGGTTTCCGCCCTCGTGCCTTCGAGGGGGGGCATGATTTGTTGCCCGCTCTGGGTGTCACGGAATACCTCCCCCGCCCTCGTGCCTTCGAGGGGGGGCATGATTTGTTGCCCGCTCTGGGTGTCACGGAATACCTCCCCCGCCCTCGTGCCTTCGAGGGGGGGCATGATTTGTTGCCCGCTCTGGGTGTCACGGAATACCCCCGGGGGCCGGGTAGCAGTAGGCACCAAATAGCACGCTCAACAGTGAGTCTGAGTATGTGTGAATATGAGCGTGAATGATATGAGTGTGAGAAGTATTTATGTATGAGTTTGGGTATGATTACGCTGATTGTGCAGCGTGGCGGAATATGTGAAAGCCAGAGTGTGGGTGCGTATGTGCTCTGAGTAATCTGAGCGAGTCAGAGTGCGAACGAGCCTGAGTACGCCTGGATCTGAGTATGAGTGGATATGGGTGAGTGGTGAGTCCGAGGTGAGCCTGAGTATGGCTAAGCTGGGCATGCGAGGATCTGAGGGGCGAGGGGTCTGAGGTGTGAGTCTTGGTGTGAATGGCTTGGGGTCGGGAGAAGGTGGGATGTGAGCGAGGCAGAGAGGCCCCACTGACAACACGAGCCGTAGAAACCCCTGCACGTAGGATGTGGGGAAAACCCACAAAATGAGGCGGAGCTTCATGCGTGAACGGCCCTGCACCCCAGCGCCCCACCCAGCCCCCCCAAGCCCAGCCCTCGAAGCCGAGAGCTCTCCTGGTACCAGATTAGGAGGCAACTACTGGGAGGTCTTCGTCGGAAGGATTAAAAGGAATAAAGCCCCATGGGGGAGCTGCTACGCCGGAGTAGGCCCCGCGGATAAAAGGAGACTGCGCCAGATGAAACAGGATTCAGCCGGATTCCACGGAATGAAGCCGGATTGAGCCGGATCTCGGAGCAAGGCAAATCAGAACTTGACCTCCCAGCGGTTGCATCCGAGACCGGAGGAGGAGGAGGCTTGCGGCTTGCGGCTGCCGAGGCGCAGGTCTGTGACTAGCGCCGAGCAGTGAGGAGGGCCAGGGGTGAAGGCCTGGCGACAGGGGGCGCTAAACGCCCCGAAGACTGGCCTCCAGCGTTGTGGAGAATGAGCAGGAGGCCAACTCTGATTTAATCAAAGTCCGAAGCAGGCACCGACGGCGCCTGAGACAAAACTGTGCTATCGGCATTCGCTCGGGACTCGAGCGAGGCGGCCGTGGGTGGGCAAGGACGTGGTGCACGACGGGACGACGTCACGACACGACCACCACAGTGTCCTTGCCCCATACTATCCTGTTTGGCCGAACACGCAGAGTTAGCCCTAGGTCCAGTAGCCTCGGAAGACGGGAAACAGACGGCCCCAGGCTCCGAACCAGAAACAAGGGCGCCATCCCACGGACCCAAATCTTCGCCCGTCTTGGGGTGGCAGCCTACCTCTGCATGACGCCAGTACATTCTGTGATTCTGAATCGTGCTGGCAACCTTGGCCTCCCCTTCGCACGTTCTACTCAGCTTGCGGCATTTGCCGTCGGGGAGGATCCAGTATCCAGCACACCTCTGACATATGATCACCCTACCGTGGCGGACGGGCCTGTGACCCAGCGCAGCTATGGCATTCAACCCAGCCTCCAACGCGGCGTCGGTCAAGGAAGAGGAGGAGGGGTCCAGGCCCAGCGAGGGAGGAACAGGATCTGACACCGCGGGGCTGCTCGCAGTGTGGCGGCGTGCCTGGGGTTCGGCCGCGAAAATGATGTCGGCGCGGCAGCGCTCTAGATCGCTGCCCTGGCACCTCCTAGCGGCCCCGCTGCACATAACTCGCAGTGTGGCTTCGCTCCTGGCAGACATATTGCACTTCCTGCAACGCCATTCAGCACGCGTCGGCAGTCGATAAATCTCGTGCTCTATGAGTGTCAAATTGATTCGCTCTACATACTGGCTCACTGGA